TGGAATTAATATTCGATAATGGGCGACATCGGCGAAGCATAAATCTTCTATCGGAGAGCTATTATATCCGCTTAATCGGTGGTAATATCGTGAACTATATCAGTATAATCGCGTAACATTTCTGCTTGATTACGTTTATGACGAGGCACTTTTCGACAATGCGCATTGGCGAATGCAATCGATACGAGTATAAGCGGTTACGAGACTAAGTTCATGCTCTAAATTCATAATTATAAACCATACATAGATAGTAATCCAATCCGATTATAGCAGGACAATTGAACGAGTAATTTTAAAATGATAATTGCATAATAAAATATTACAGAATTAAAAGTTATTTTACAATAATTGATGCAAAAGGTTTTAATAATAATAGAAAATAAATAATTGAATAAATAGTAGATTCTTTAAAATTGAAATCATCCTTCCACGATTACAAATTCATGATCATTTTATTTGTTTTCATGTTTCGTTATATAAAGCACGATCGTTATCTTTGAAAGAAGAAACACTCTCTTCAATGATATTTATGCTGGTCGCCGAACTCTACCAAAATTTATACATGTCCAGTTTGCATTATTGCACGGAAAGAAACAGAGAGAGAGAAAGAGAAAGAGAGAGAGAGAGAGAGAGAGAGAGAGAGAATGAGAGAGAGAGAATGAGAGAGAGAGAGAATGAGAGAGAGAGAATAAGAGAGAGAGAGAGAGAGAATGAGAGAGAGAGAGAGAATGAGAGAGAGAGAGAGAGAGAGAGAGAAAGAGAGATAAAAAGAGGGAGGGTAAAAGAGAAAGGGAAGGAGGGGGGAAGCAGGAAGTACTATAAAGGCCGGGACGTTATTGACATTGTCAGTTGTAAAGTCGGATATATTGCGAGGTGACTGTTTATTCCTGTCTGAAATATACGTGCTACAGTCAGCGTGCTACTACGGATAACGGGGTTAAAATGAATAATGCACCAGATTTTTCAGCAGTATCTCGAGCTATTATTATGATAAAGTATCGAAGCTTGGCCGGTGTGCCGGGTGGTAGAAAGGACATTGTAAAAAAGGAAAGAAGTCTCGTTGTTATAGAAGTGATCGGTGGTGAACATAGTTAAAACAATCGGATTCTTTTCTTATTCTTTCTTACTCTTGTATCATAATTCAAAAGGAATGGTAAAAATCTATTGAACTTTTATATTATAATGGTGAAGATTACGAGTAAAATTATAGGAAATAGGTATCGTAAGTAAAGAGGAAGTTCGCAAACACGGTAGCTCACGTACCAATTAAACGATCCTGGATATTCCAATTTGAACTTCGCCATATTACTTCGAGTCGAGAAAGCTCGCAGACGTTGTCCGGGAGGAATTACACGAACCCTTTGTAAGGAGCAACGCTTGCCGCGCGCGTCTTCTCGCGATTCAATTTAGCTTGGGAAAACGCCCAGAGAAATGGCATTGTTGAAAGAGGTGAAAATTTTTGGAAGGAAGGAAGGGAAGACTCTCGAGTTCGACCGACTTCTTCCTCCTCGTCTTTGATAAATTACACGGTTCTTTCATTTCTGTTTCTTCCCACAGCCAATTCATCCTTCTTCTATTTCTTCTTATTCTTTTTATTCTTCTTTTTTTTTTCTCATTTCGAATTAGATAGCGACTGGTTCCATCGTTCTCTGTGAGATCTTAAAAAATGAAAGAGGACTCGACATACTGCTACAAGTTCAAAATCTATAAACTGATCATAAAGAAGGTAACGATCGTAGTAAGAAGAGCCTGTATCTTGAGAACCAAGTCACCTTTAGAGTATAAACTGATACGAAAAGGATCTATCGTAGATCACTTTGAAGCGAAATAAGACGTCGCGAGGTTCGAATTTAACACGTTACAGACATATGACTAGCTATCTCGTGTCAATAATTGATGCAAAGGAACAGCTTGGTTTATTCGCATAGGCATAGTTATTGTTAGTAATAAAATGTCTTTTCGGTAATATGAAAATGGACCCATATCACGTTAGAAACTATCTTTTTAATATGCCGTCGATACATTTTCTTTTTGATCGAACGAATTCTTAAAAAATGTATAAAATGTCTCTCGTTCAAATCCAGAGCGGATCAAATATCGTCGGCGGAAAGTCTGATAGAATTTCGAATGACTAATGAACACACATTTATCGCGAACGCGATGTAAAGTTGACCTGATTTTCACGTAGCATACAAACCGTGTTAGTATTTTATGAAACTAAAAAAGAAAACAGGGGAAAAAGAGCAGAGAACGACATTGAATCACTTTCGCGTATAAATCCGAAGCGGACATGCAAACGTTCACGTTTGCGTACTTTTAAAATTCGCTAATGATTCGTTTAAATCGTATGTGTGTCCGCGCGCGCGCATGTATGTATGCTGACAACACGTAGGTGGGGTAATAATCGCCGTAATGACAAAACAAATACGGCGTGCACGTGTGCCGTGCTTTCTAGCTCTCTCTTGTCACGAAATGTAAGCGGCATGCGGCACGCGCGTTTGGCTCTTCCTTCCGACCGCGTATTTGCGCACCGGTTTCAGTTACAAATCCACTTCGCTAAGCACGCGTGACATACGCATATGACGCCCACGTCGTTTAACTATGAACGAAGAGATTTTTTTTTTCTTTTCTATCGTCTGCTTATCACTCGGCAAAACCTTGAATTTATTTCAATGTTTATCTTTTATTATCTGGTGATAGTCCAAGTTGTTTACCAGCGAACGATTCGTTTCATAATAGAAGAAAAATAGCGTAGGTTACGAAACAGTTGAGAAAGGATATACGATTTCTCTTTGAAGAACCACATTCAAAGATCATTAATCATACGTAATAAGAAATAAGCTTTGTTATCGATAGATCTTAAATAAATAAAAGCGTGCTTTTATTTATCCAAGTTTCAAAGGATCAAGTAGACATAGAGTAAACTGGATATCAAATATTTGTCACGAATCAAAATATTTTTTCATGGTAAATATTTGGAAAAGCAAACGTCGAGAATTACAATACACTATCAAGTGATCGTAAAATTTCATTACATTCTTCGGCATAACGAAGATATCACTGAACATTGGATCGTACGTATTCATTTTCGATTTGCATAACTTCTAAATTTTTCCTCGTCTATTCGTTATAACTGACGTATGAATTGAATATTTATGTATGTATATTATTATTATTACGATATAATCGGGACGGACGATAGGAAATATCTATTTCATTCTCGTTTTCTCGCCGTGAAATCCAAGCGGACAAATAATATTAAAATGGCATATTGCGTCGCTATTTCAACTAATTGAATCATTAACTTCCCGCATTATTAATTAAAACTTTTCACGTGACAACGTTCCCATGGGTTACTCATAGAACTAAATTATAAACTTGATTCAAGGTGAACGTAAGATCGTATTGAGCTTTCTTACAAGTCACCTTAACGTACAATTATGCCCTCACTGATGGAGGTCATTTAATAAGATGTAAATTAAAATTAATGTAGAACGAAGAAATATTCTTAAACGAAGAAGTACGGTTATCTATATACAGTAGATGTTATCAACGATATTCAATCCAAGAAAATTATCATAGACGCGAAAGTAATCCAAAATTGATGGGAACGTAAAAATAATTTTCAACAAGAACAACGCTTTAACAGTGCACCGTGTTGAATTTTACTCTTCATGGTCGTTAAGAGAAAGGGAGATAGAGAGAGAAAGAGAGAGAGAGAGAGAGAATAGAAATACACTGCGGTGTACCACCTTGGCCAATAATTTCGGCTCTTACTGCAACATACCCGAGTATGTAGGTATCATAGATAGCAGCATAGTACACCATTGACCTCATAAGAGAACACCTTATAGCTTCGTTTATTCCATTCATTTCTCTCTCTCTCTCTCTCTCTCTCTCTCTCTCTCTCTCTCTCTCTCTCTTGCTTACTACTTTATTTTCTTCTCTTTTTTCCATTACATTTTTTCCCCTTTCAGTTGCTGTAGTTTTCTTTGTTTGCTCGATTACCCTTTCCCACGTTTTCCCTTCTATCGAACATACTATTCTTTTGATACCTATATCGGATAGGTGCTGTTATTTTTCGTGCAATTGCATTAACAGCTCTTGGTGCAGCTCGTCAGCTGCATGATATCGTGCGAGAAAAAGGATTTTTTCTCTTTATGATTAGTTCGATCCTTTCTCTTTCTCTCTCTCTTTTTCTCTTTTTCTTTTTCTCTCTTTATTTTTAATCTACACGATTTTTACCATCCATTCTCTATATTATTCCAATAGCTAGACTTTATGTCCTATTCACCGATATAAAAATATTAAGTATACAAAAGTGTTGCAACCGCAAAGCTCCTAGATATATAATCTAACACGTAAGGTGGTTGATTTTATCATGCCTTCATTTTTCTTTTTTTTTCTATTGTTTCCACGAGAAAGATCATGTGTACTTTGGCAAAACTAATACGTGGTCCAAGAAAATTAGCTTTCATAGACGAGTATCACGCTGGAAATAAGAAAACGAGGTGAATCGACGAGAGGGAACGACAACCTTCCTAGACGATCGTCGACATATGGATGATACGTGACTCACTTGAGGTTACATATTCGCAACTTTCATATAGGGTGGATATCGATGAATATACACGGTGTCTCGATGTTGAACTTTCTCGACAAAGTTTTAAAAAGTTTATATCCTAGTATATCTTGATGAACTTAGTTGGAAAGTTCTCACAAAATATCCAATAATTAACGTTAAGTAACATATTAACGGATCATAAGAAGCATAATAATGATTTTGAAAAATTTAATCGAACTTGACGTATATATTGAAATAAGATCGATATGTAATTTTAAAAAATAATTGCAGCTTTCACCAAGAGATCCATGAAATAAGAGTCTTATCTGAGTCTATATACTCGTTTAACTTTTGAAGATAATACTTTGAAAGAACATGAGTATTATCGAGACACCTTGTATGGATAGCATAAATGCATCGGGGTGGGTTTACTCACGTCTATCGAAATTTCCTTGCCAGCGGGTCGCTGTCTCCTCACCGTTGGTGCTGCCACGAATCGATAGTCGGTGCATCAATGTGTCGCTCTTGATACCAGCCGTCCAAGGTTCCAAACCTTCGTCGTAAATGTTGTCGATGTCTTTACGTGGGCGGGTAGAAGCATCACTGGAACAGGGAAAATAGATCGTTACAGAACCGCGTATCCGACGGCTTTATGGGCCAATAAACGTCCTGGGATCCAACCTCTCTTCCTTCGTCTAAAGAAGCTTATTAAAACCCATACCAGTCTCCTCATCTATCTACCTTTCTCTCTCTATTTCTCTCCCTCTGTCCCTCTCTCTCTCTCTTTCTCTCTATTTCTCTCCACCTTTCTCTTCCTCACGTTTTCCCTTACATCGATACCTCAACGTACGTTTTCCCTTATATCGATTCGGTATGATAATGTTTCTGATAAATTCGGTGATCAATATTGAATTATTAAATTACACTTGACTCGAATGACTTAAGTTTTATAAAACATGTTTAAATGTAGCAAAAATTTCGAAAGAATTGATTAATGATAGGAAAAAATATATCATCCAATCAATTCCTACTACTTTATTTTTTTATTCACAATTTTCAATGAACTATTTATTACGATGATAGAGTTGTTTAAAAAAACATAGGTATTAAATAAAGTCGTAAATATATCAACTTGATCTAACGTCTAATACCATTGGAAATAATGAATTCGTTTGTAACTTCTCTTAAATGAGAGAAAGAGTAATGATATCGCGTAGTCGTTCGTTAGAAGAAGAATCAGAAAACAGGTTTGGTTAGATGAGGTTTCGGGCTGCTGAACACGAACGGATTCGAATTTCGCGTTTCGTGATGTTGAAGTGCGCATAGCACGTGCGACGTACGTTTAGCGAAGGATGAACGGAAAGGGTGGCGGTTCTCTCGTTTTGCTACTATTTCAATTTGTTCACGAATCGTGGCGCGTCGAATGAAAAAAAAAAAGAAAAAAAAAAAAGAAAAAAGGAGACGAGAGAAAGGTGTGACGCGTTATAAAGTCGAAATGTTCGAAATTCTAACGAAACGCTATGTACTTTTTAATTGATTTGTATTCAACTTTTAGTAATAAAATGCTATTTTTCTTTTTTTATTGCTTAAAGAAAAAGAAACGTAAAAATATTGATAATTCTACAGGAAATTTCTTTGCCAAGAGATATCCATAAACTGGAATGATAATAAACTTTGTAATAAACAGAATTTAATATATACAATTTTTATGATTACACATACGAAGTTTCATTTTCATATCATTAATTTATTTTATTATCTGACAAAATTATATAACTTTTATGTTGCGAGCTTTGTGAGAAATTCTCGAACAAGTTTGAAGTATGTGAGTTTTATTTTTAATTACATTCTTGCCGGTAAGAGAACGAGGAAAATTGATAATTTTTAACTTTTTTCGTCTTTCTTTCGTCTAAAGAAACTTTTCTTCTTTTCTTTCCACAAAGCACGACGTTTATCACACCAAAGAAAGATCGTGCGAACCATGGATGGAATGAAATTTGAATATTTACCAGTACGGTTTCCATTCCTTTTCTTTACATTTCTCCCTTTACTCGTAAATCAAATTCTTTGCGCCTTTCTGAATATTATTTAGCAGATATCTACATCGTTAAAGTAGGTATGCATTGCTCTATATTTTCTTTTTATCTTTTTTCAACGTGTCAACGATAAAACGAAATCGCTTAGCTATGAACGCCGTGAAAGAATCATTCTACTTCGTCGATCTTCAGAGAACTACTTTCTTACGATTTACAACCTTCGTACAAACAGACAGGATCGACAATGCTGCATTCAGGGTTAGAATAGCCCTTCTACAAGGATAGTATATCGTATCACAACGCTTCGGTTCATACGACAAGGCAATACAGATCCAACACCCCTTCAACAGCAACCGACATTCCTCGACGCACGGTATCCCTCCGTCTAGCATCGACCAGACGTCTTGCTCTTTCCGTCATTGTCTTGGCACCCCTTGCCGTTGGCAAAGCGTGCTTTTCGACCCGAGAAAGATCGCGCTACTCCGATTACAATAGGCCTGTTTCCTCGGCCATCGTGCCAACCCTGACGACGACGACAACGACAACGACAACGACAACGACAACAACAACGACAACGACGACGACAACGACAACGACGACGACGATGATAACGGCACATTACTCTCTAAGGAATAACCCTTCTATCCGAGTATGGTCCAACTCACACGTCACTCTCTTTCTCTTTTATATTTCGAAGGATATACTTTGATATATAGATATATAGATGTACATAGGTATGTACTTATCTATATGGAAAGAAAAAGGGTGAAGACGAGGGCAATTCCAAGCTGTTCGAAAACTTCGAATATGTTCTCCCATTGACCACCCTTCTTTCTTCTTTCCTTCTTTCCTTACTTCCTTCCTTCCTTCCTTCCTTCCTTCCTTCCTTCCTTCCTTCATTCCTTCTTTCTTTCCTTCCGCATTGCTTTTCCTTAAGCGACCGCCAACTATTTTGCTCTCGTTCATCCTTGACACGAGCCTTTCTCACGTGGTCCTTTTTAACCATTTAAAAGCACTCTTGAATCCACCCTATCCCACGAGAATACTTTCCAGATGGTTCCTCACTACACAGGGTTCGTCGGTCGCCTTTTTATTACTTCGGATAGTTAGGATTTCGGCTATGTACCTTCTTTAAAGGAAAACCTCGAACTGAGTAATAGTTTGGATATGATCATAAAAGGAAACGAAAATGGACTTCAGAATGAAGGATATAAGCTTTTATCAATCGTCTTTCGTAATTTAAGTTTATAACTTTTCCAATACTTAAACACATATGAGATTTGAACTTGGACATACTTATATAAAATGTTTCTATTGCAAATGTAATTGTAATTCCTGTGTTATCTTCTTTATACAATTATTCAGTATAGTCATTGAGATACAATAAGGAGGAAAAATGGATCTTACAAGAAAAGTAAAAGAAGAAGGAAAGAAGATTGGCGAGATTTTACGAGAGGATTCTACTCGTTGAAAGCCCAGAAAGAGATATACTCTAGAATTATGGTCGACGATTCAGCAAGATATAGCTGCTTTTTCAAGAAAAGCCAGCCAGTAGACATGCTCGGAGAGGATGGAATCCCCGACGACGTTTTCGTCGTGCATCTCGTCCTCTCTTGAGATAGGAAAATAAGGCAAGACGAATTATGGCTCTTCGTTGACGGAAGAAACGCGTTTGTTCTGACATTACTACCATCGAGAATGCGATTAAACAATTAATTTTCAGAAGATAAAACCAGAAGACGTTTAGTACTGTTTTTGAAATTTCTAGAAGGACGTTACTCATTTTACTTTTATCTTTCGTATTTCGCAGCAATAAAATGAATATCTTTTCTATTCTGTAATATTGGTCACAAAGACATTGTGAATTCATCTTCAATATCCTTTTAAATACGATTTAGATATTGATATTTGTGTTAAACCAGATGAAATTAATTGAAACGATATTCTAAGTTATAAGTACTATTATAGTCTTTCACGATCATTCAAATGTCTACATGCATTTCCTTTTTATTCCATTGTAGTCAAGAGATAAACCTAAATTTGATCGAAATGATATTTAAAATATTGATTTAAATATATCCATGAAAATTAATAGAGTAATTATTAATAGAAAAAATCAATCGTAATAATTACATACTGTCGTAGAAATTTGTAACTCGTTCGAAAGTTTATAAATAATAAAATTAGCGAAAATTTATTTCACCACAAAAATTTCGAATACTTTTGCGTTATTGAGTATGTCGAGACATACTGTTAGATATCGTTATCGTACATATCTCAGAAGATTCGTGCGAGCTACGATAGAAAATATCGATTCCGTCAGATCGTAGTATTGGCAAGGAGAACGAAAAAAATGGAATCAAATTTTCTATGATCCTCCATTTTTCTTATCCATTTCATTGTAATATCCACATAGTATGAAATATTTTCTCTACTCTTTCATTCTGATCGAACGGTTTCATTAAATAATATTAATTTCTTTTCGTCGTAGATATATATATATATATATATATATATATATATATATTTACTTACAAAGTCTAACTTGAATTTATTATTAATTAAAAATTCAACGATTTCACCTTCTCAATTTCACTATATTTTTTTTTTAAGAGGCACAACCACAACGATAATGTATCAATCACTGAAGCGGATAAAACGAAATACACGACACGGTAGAGTTTAAACCGCCTGTAAGTGAATAACGAGTGTTATCGGTCGATACGTTATCATAATACGGCATTACTCACGTTACCGAGTTAAAAAAGAAAATCGCGGAACAATCTTTCGCATTACTCAACAGAGACCGACAAGTTATTATGAATGAGTGACGGATAGGTAATTTTAAATTCTAAAGGTATTTGAATTTTCACTATTTTTATATTTCTAAGAAAAAAAAAAAAAAAAGAGAAAAAGAGGAAAACAGAAAGAAAGAAAAGAAATGTTTCGAGATAGTGGAGAGACTAAATAAGTGTGAAAAAAATAAAAAATAAAAGAAAAAAGAACACAAACGATTGCACATAAAAGTTGGCTCGAAACGGCTCTCTGAGTACGATCAGGATGTAACAGATAAGCCTATAAAATTGTTGAGCGACAAGGAACAAGGGCAGTGATGCTGCCCGACCATGAATCACGGCTCACCCGAGGAAACTTTTTCCAACTCTTGTCTCTACATGCCACCGAGCGAGACGCGAACGTGTAGATAGATGTATAGATAGATAGAACATGCTAGCTCTCGTCTATATTCGATAGCTGGAAACATGTTCTTTCATGCGTATAAAACATCCATTCTCACGTGTACGTGTCTCTTATTTTTGATTTTATATCTTTCTTTTACGAAGGTATACCGTTCTTATTCATCGATTAAATATTTTTTTTTTTTTTACGATAACGGAATAAAAATTACCAAACGGAGAAAAAATGAAAACAAAAGATTTATTCAAAGAAAGGTTTTTCAAGTTTTTGTTCAAAGTAACGAATCAATGCGTTTGAAAAAGAGAGAGAGAGAGAGAGAGAGAAAAAAAACGAGGTGCAAAGAGGTAGGATGACTCCCAAAGGAAAAGGTGA